ACCAACTGACCAGCTGAGAAAAGCGGTGAGTTTCCATCACAGAACTCTTGCATGTTGGAATGTAGTACACCCTGTTTCGCGCTAGCAGAGCATCTGGTTGCAGAACATGCACTGGTTGTAGAACGTCACCACGTTTGAAATGGTCTTATCACCGACGGTACAAGCACATTCACAAGAAAGCGGTTAGCTAGGATGCTGCATGGTAAAGAACATTAACCAAGCGTTTCAAAGCGGTTGAAAAGGGTATACAGCGATAAAGAAAAATTTTGCCCCCAGTACCACTCCGTCAGCTGGTGCGGCTTTGCCCGCAGGTTTCAGCCATACGGTTTATGGCACCTGACCGCACTGTAGCAGCGAATCGCGCAAGGTGAGAGGGTCGAGAAACAGGGTGTACAGATGAGTCACGAAAGTCAGGAACGAGGTGGCAGTGCACGGCCTACGATGAATGTGGTGTGCTGAAGACCATTTCTGGTTGGTGTGGTTGTGGGACACACAGAGAATCAACGGTTGACAAGGAGTCAAGATAAAATGGACGGATGGGCGTAGGAATGTGCGGGCGTGATGTGATGTGATGCGATGTGATGCGGAGATTTGGGGTGGGATTGATCTGGGGTTGTTGGGATCGGGTCGGGACGGGACGGGACGGGACGGGATCGGGATGGGGGAGAAGAGAAAGGAGGGATGGATGGATTGAATGAAAAAGGGTAATAGCTTTAGCAGGGGTAATACTAGCGACCCTGCGCTTTGAAGGAGACTACATTCCCAGTAGCGGGCACTTTCCACCCCTCCGCGCCTCAGACAGGGAAGTTATAGAAACAAGACAGTAATCTTCCCACATTCACCCACGTGTCAACAATTTCCAAATCGAATCCACACTCTGGGTGGCTCGGCTGCCAAACTGTTCTGAAATCCGATAGGCTACTGTTTCGCGCCCAAAATTTCGGAACACAGGCCTGCGTCAGCAGGCAGTGCAATGAGTCAGCGGGCAAGTAAAAACAAACCCCACATGGAAGGCATGCAATTCGGGAGGCATCAACCCTAAACTTTTAGGGTTGAGGCTCCCGAATGGCATGCAGTCCGATTGGAGTTTATATTTTTTTGCCCGCGGTCAGATTGGTTTCGATTTGGCAGAAGGGACAAAAGTCTGTTGCGCACAGTTGGTCAGAATGTCCAGTACAGTACGTGGCATGCAAATTAGTGACACGTGGGTGAATGTGGGGAAGATTACTGTCTTGTTTCTATACCTTTCCTGTCTGAGGCACGGAGGGGTGGAAAGTGCCCGCTACTGGCACTGTAGTCCCCTTCAAAGCGCAGGGTCGCTAGTAGTACCCCTGCCAAAGCTACTTACCCAATGGAAAAGGGGAGGGAGGGAAGGAAAGCGGAGCAGACTGGCAGGGTCAAGGGGGGTGTGGTCGGTCACTGCACACACCAACCTCCTCTGGTCAGGTCTAGCTCGATCCATCCGGCTACCCCTCCCACACCGTTGGTTGATTGTTATTTCTGCTGGAGAGTACAGTCGATGCTCAGCCTATCACAGAACATTTGCTCTGTACAATTAGAAATTTAGTCACTCGCGAACGTTTTGCTCGTGAGTGACTAAATTGACCATTGTGCCGATTTCAGGGTACAGTCACCAAGTTGAGGAAGAAAAACCTCTACAGTTCATAAACAATAACGGTTGCCCGTTTTTGCTGGCAGGAACAATCACAAATGTACACCCAGCCAAATCTGCCGAATCAAATGATGACGGTTGCCCGTCATCAGAGAAGCTAACCTGGTTACGAAATTAAAGCCCTTAACTCGATTCACGTTGCAATTTCATATTAGTCACATTTTTGCCCGTGGCGACAAAGGGGAACGTGGCGAATACACCCTGTTTCTCGACCCTCTCACCTTGCGCGATTCGCTGCTACAGTGCGGTCAGGTGCCATAAACCGTATGGCTGAAACCTGCGGGCAAAGCCGCACCAGCTGACGGAGTGGTACTGGGGGCAAAATTTTTCTTTATCGCTGTATACCCTTTTCAACCGCTTTGAAACGCTTGTTTAATGTTCTTTACCATGCAGCATCCTAGCTAACCGCTTTCTTGTGAATGTGCTTGTACCGTCGGTGATAAGACCATTTCAAACGTGGTGACGTTCTACAACCAGTGCATGTTCTGCAACCAGATGCTCTGCTAGCGCGAAACAGGGTGTAGTCTCAAATTCGTTTCACGCACATGCCGCCCGCCTACCTGGTGTTCTTGAAATGGGCACCGACTGTAACAAAAACGGGAACACTGTTTTGCTTTTACGGAACGGAACCGCTGGTCTGCTGCTCTTCTGTCCTCTTCTGCTCGGCTGCAATGAGATTCTATTCCAACTGTGCTGTAGCTAGCACGTTGCCACACCTCACTGTACAAACTGACTGGGTACAGTACTGTAATTGTTGTGCGCATCGACTGGAGACTCAGGATTTAGCAGAGCGTTTTGCACTACAAACTTGGTGTAGTTGGCCAAGAGCAATCTTTCGAAGAGTGCTGTTACCGTATTAGCCTGTACTTCCGGGCGGTTATGTGACCAACTCCCGTTCAATTTCGACTCCGCCTGTGTCCCAGTGGGCTGTGTATTTTGACGAATCGCCAGACTTATAACTCCACTTGCATTGTGACAAGTCTGTGTCCCCGAGTCCGCGCTTACAACCTAGCGAGCCGAGATCTTCCAACCCCCCCCTCCCTATCCTGTTTCTGTCTGAAATTTAAGTATTTTCAATAAGCGAGATTTGTCTAGGTAGCGCACCACAATCTCCCATCTACCCCCTGACCTAATTCAGCTGACTTCCAGCTTTGCATGACATGAAGGGTGGTTCGTCATCAACACTACTGTACAAGGCTCCAGAAAGTATGGCGGGGCCCACCAATCAAGCTTACTGGACGGACGGAAGTGAGGCAAAAAGTCGAGAACACGGGCAGCTGAGAGTTTCGGCTCCTGATACACCATATTTTCTCAAAGGGAAATTATACGCGTAGTCACTATTATGGCCGTATTATCACGTTTGATCACGGGGTCATCACAGACAGTCACAGTACAGTACTTTGCTATCACGTGTGATCATAGCGCTATCACGCTTGGTCACATCTCGCGCCACAGGGTTATCACGTTTGGTCACTGGTTGAAACGCCCGCCAAAAAGTCGAAACTCCAAAATCTACTGTAAAGATTCGGGTTAAAAACATCTGTCGCGCCGTTTTGTCTGTAGTATACGAAATAGTTTCGCGACAGCTCTCGGTAACTCGTTTAAAATATCTAAACATCTTGTTACTATTCGACTGTCCACTGTTCGATTGATGCATAATGTCCCTAAGAATAACACTCTTAGACGGGTGAAAATCGAAGGGTAATTTCTGTTTCCAAGACAAAAAACTAGAACCCGTTCGGATGGGATTTAATTCGGGATGCATCAACCCTAAACACCTTGTCGCATGGTGTTTAGGGTTGATGCCTCCCGAAGAACGTGTCATCCTATTGGGGTTTATTTTTCTTTATTCAGTCCCCCTAAATGTCAGGCTAGAATCATGCGCGAGGACACACGCAATCAATATTGGGATTCCCCAAAATCTCTACAGTTTCTTCTGTGGTTTCAATTTTATTATTATCGTTTCATCGAGTGACCAGACGTGATAGCTTTTTGAGGCGAGGTGTGACCATCCGTGATAGCACTGTGATCATGCGTGATAGCAAAGTACTGTACTGTGACTGTCTGTGATAACCTAGTGACCAAACGTGATAATGCGGCCATAATTGTGACTGCGCGTATAATTTCCCTTTTTCAAACTTCTCACCTTGCGCGACTGGTCGCTACAGTTCTTGTCTCTTGCGATCTGGTGCCATTAAATGTTCCTACTATCCTGGGGGGAAAAGCCGAACCACGTGACAAACTGGCTGAAGGGCGTAAATTTTCCGTAATCGCTGTATATCCTTTACAACCTTTCTGAAACGTTTACGAAGCTGATTTTAAACTGCATCACCTCACCTAAACGCGTTCTTCGCATTGTGCTTGACAAGACGGTTCTGAACGTAGTGACGTTCTACAACCCGTGATTGTTCTGCAACCAGATGCTCTACTAGCGCGAAAAAGGGTGTAAATTGTCATAATGATCTTCTTGCACGACAACTGAAGAAACGACAAGGAGACCAGCCCAAATTCAAAGTGCTCACAGTATACGACAACTAAGATCTATCAAAATTCGCCTTGTGGTTTTCACATCTAATCTGTTCTTGCTGGTGTGGTACACTTAGCTTCTAAAAAAACATATGTACAACAAGCTTATGAGCTTCATATACAGCATTAAGGCGCTGGTGACTACGGGCTTTCTGCTGGTGCAATAATGGGAACACATGGGCTTTTTCACTGCCTTTTTGGCGCCTGAAAACACGGTAATTCTCCTTTTGTTGATTTGACTCGTACCAGTAGCTGTCCTTGGTACTGTATATGCACCTGCTACCTACATGTGCTGTATTAGGGCTTCTCCATGGAATTTAGTTTCTGCCAATTACCCTTCCCAATCATTTGAGCTCGCGGATAACCTTCTGGAACAAATAGCCCCTCATTGAGTCCTTTTTTTCGCACAGATTGTGCTTGTATCATTTATTTGATTTTGACATGTACGAAATCTGGAGATGAGATTGCAATCCTGGTTCGCTCAATAGATTGACATGCTAATGCTCTCCAATTTCTGCATTCATGATTGATTGCCGCACCCCATGGAAATGGAATACATACAACATTGCAGATTGAGATACAAGCAGCGAAGAACTTCAAACCGAATGTGACACACTGAGCGAAATATCCCCCGAATGCATCGCAAGAAGCAGCTTGTGTCTCTCTTCCGGATTCGTAACATCTAGCAGCAAAACAATTGTAGCAGCTGTAGTGTATGATCCCACACCGCCTCCCTGTCCCTGCTGCCCTTGCTGCTGCAGCTGCAGTTGGGTTTCCCGGCTAGCTTGCTGACTCAAGGGGTTTATAACTCGCGCATCGGTGAAACCGCGACGGTCGTACAGTTTTGGATGTTCGAGTGTGAAGAGAATGAGAGGAATGGCCACCTGAGGGAGGAGGGAGAGCGGGAGATTGCAGAGGAGAGAGCGGGAGTGCGCAGAGAGGGAAGAGCGGGAGTGCACAGAGGGGCACGGGGGACAGGGGAAGTGACCAGGGGACAATGAGTGCGTACTTGGTTGGAGGAGTGCACAGTTTTGGATGCTCCAGTGTGAAGACGATAAGAGGAATGACCTATTCTCCCGCCTTGTGGACTCTGCTCCCCCGCAAGGGGATAGGGAGGAGGAAATAGGGGGTGCGGGGGGCCACAAGGCGGGAGGAGGGATGCGACAATAGTTGAGTCCATCGTTTCTCGAGGGTCATACTGTTTTGGATGTTGGAGTGTGAAGAGGATAAGGGGAGTGGCCACCTGAGGGAGGAGGGGAGAGCAGGGGTGTGGGGAGAGCAGGGGTGTGGGGAGAGCAGGGGTGTGGGGAGAGCAGGGGTGTGGGGAGAGCAGGGGTGTGGTGAGGGGCACGGTTGGGGAAATGCACTGATTTGGATGTTTGAGTGTGAAGAGGATAAGGGGAATGGCCACCTGAGGGAGGAGGGGATAGCAGAAGATGCAGAGGGAAGAGCAGGAGAGCGCAGAGGGGCACAGGGCGGCACAGGGAGGCGTGTTAGTGTGGCTGAGTGCCTCTGGCGGCAAGGAATACACATACATGCGTACCTGTGCGGCAGGGTGTTTTTGAGAATTCTCAAAAACACCCGGGAGGCGTGTTAGTGTGGCTGAGTGCCTCTGGCGGCAAGGAATACGGGGATGCGTGTTAGTGTGCTGGCGAGGTGCCTCTGGCGGCACAGGGAGGCGTGTTAGTGTGGCTGAGTGCCTCTGGTGGCAAGGAATACACATACATGCATACCTGTGCGGGTATGGCTATAAAGGCAAACACGGGGATGACGTGCAGAGCAGCAGAGTGTGTCTGCTTCACCCACGAGAGCACGCACTCAAGCACACGCCTTGGGAAGGAATACGTACACACAGAAACGTGTACTGCATACATGCATCCCTGTGCGGGTACTGCCTTGCCTCGGCAGCGAATGCAGGAATGACGTGCAGAGTAGCAGATTCGACCAGATTTAGTCCCACCCACGGACCCACACGCTCAAGCACACACACACACACGCATACCTGTGCGGGTACTGCCTTGCCTCGGCAGCGAATGCAGGGATGACGTGCAGAGCAGCAGAGTCGACCAGCCTTTGTGGGATTAAGACGGCCGACGAGGGGAAGGCGACCTGTTCTCACCTGACGAGGGGAAGGCGACCTGTTCTCACCCGAGGACGCACACACGCAAGCACACACTCAGGCACACACCATGGGAAGGAACACACTCTTACCTGTGCAGGTATGGCCTCGGCAGCGAATACAGGGATGACGTGCAGAGCAGCAGAGTCGACCAGCCTTTGTGGGATGAAGAAGGCCGACGAGGTGGAGGCGGCGAGGGGGAAGGAGAGGTGGCGCGGCCAAAGAGAGCGGTCCAGCTGGGCTCGGAGGGATTCAGAGAGGTGCGAGAGCGATGTGGAGATGTGTGTGGGGAGATCCGCGGGGTCCAGTGCGGTGCGGATGGGTGCGGAGGGCGGCTGGTCGAGGGGGAGGGTGAGGAGATGGCTTGGGTTGGAAGAGTTTAGGTACCAGATTTTGTTCTGTGGGTGGGTGGAGAGGGGTGGAGGGGGGTGGAGGGGGGTGGAGGGGGGTTGGGGGGGGGGATGAAGTGGGGTGGGGAGAGGGGTGGAGATGTGAGGGTAGGTTAGTAGTATCAGAGAAAGAGACAACGAAGAGCATAAGCAGGGGGTGAGGAGTGGTTGGAGGGGGGTGGAGGGCGGTGGAAGGAGGTGGAGAGGGGTGGAGGGGGGTGGAATGGAGTGGCAGCAGGGAATAAGGGATACCTTATCAAGGAGGGCATCAGCCAGAACCCAGTCGTTCAACACTGCATCGTCGCCCAGCCAGAGGAAGCTCGAGGTGAGCAGACAAGGTGAGTATGATGTGTGCGCTATTATGCTTAGTGAGGACAGTACCTTATCCAGTGAGGCATCAGCCAGCGTCCAGTAGTTGAGAAGTGCATCGTCGTCCACAGGAAGCCCGAGGAAGCCCGAGGTGGAAGGGGGTGGTGAGGTGAAGGGGAGGGGAGTACCTTATGAGGTGAGTACCCCATTATGAAGGGGAGGGGCCTACCTTATCAAGAGGGGCATCAGCCAGGGCCCAGTAGTTCAAGACTGCATCGTCGTCCAGCCAGAGGAAGCCCGAGGCTGAGGCGTGTTGCTCCATGATGGTGGGGAGCGCCGTGTAGGAGAGAGAGGCATCGGTGTTGGCAGCTGGGGAGGGTGTGGCCTGGGGGAAGGGGCATTGCCACAAGAGAGAACAGACAGAGGAAGCCCGAGGCAGTGGGTGGGTGAGGCGTGTTGCTCCATGATGGTGGGGAGAGCGGTGTAGGAGAGAGCCGGGGGAAGGAAAGGTTGTTGTCGGGCCCGGAGTGTGGGGAGTGGGGCGGGGAGTGGGGCGGGGATTGGGGCGGGGAGTGGGGCGGGGAGTGGGTCGGGGAGTGGGGCGGGGAGTGGGTCGGGGAGTGGGGTGGGGAGTGGGGTGGGGAGTGGGGTGGGGAGTGGGGTGGGGAGTGGGGTGGGGAGTGGGGCGGGGAGTGGGATAGGCGCATTGCCACAACCCACAGGAAAGCGCAACGCAAGGCAGTGAGAGGCTGAGGCGTGTTGCTCCATAACCAGTGGGTGGAAGTGGGTGGAAGTGGGTGGAAGTGGGCAGAGGAACGGAACGTTACTGGAAAAAGGGGGTGACTGAGGAGCTGGAAGGAAGGGGAGAGGAGGGACGGGGAGGGGAGGGGAGGGGAGGGGAGGGGAGGGGAGGGGAGTGGGGAGAGGGACGGTTGGGGGGATGGGAAGGGGGGGGAAGGGGAGGGGGGCGGCGAGGGGAGGGGCCGGGAAGGGAGGTTGGGTTGGGTGTGCGGGTGGGAGCATGCCGCAATAGAACCCCAGCTCGGGGATTGCTTCAGTTGACCCCGCCACAAGATTGTCGAATACGTGGCCGTACACAATGGAAGGGAAGAGGCATGAGGAGCACAAGTTGCAGCGTTTAGGGTTGGGGAGGGAGGGTGGGAGCATACCGCAATGACCCCCAGCTCCGGGATTGCTTCTGTTGACACTGTCACCATATTGTCAAAGACGCGGCCGTACACGTGGCGCCAGAACTCCAGCGTCTGCCATGCCCGCACTGGCCTGTAGGAGCGGGGAGAGGGGAGGAGAAGAACGGGGTAAGGGAGGGAATGGGCAGCACAAGAAAGCGCAGATCGTGGAATATGTGCCGTACACGTGGCGCCAAACTTTGAGTCGACTCAAAACTACACGTGGCGCCAAAAAGCCAGCGCCTGCCATGCCCGCACTGGCCTGCAATTAGTAGCGTAGCGGTGAGGATGAGAGCAAGTGAGGCAGCGAAGCAGGCAGCAGGGAAGAGGCATGCACTGCTGAATACGTACGTGGCCGTGGCCGTACACATTGCGGCCAGACATCAAGCCATACCATGCACTCACTGGCATTACACACTCACTGGCATTACACACTCACTGGCATTACACACTCACTGGCATTACACTCACTGGCATTACACACTCACTGGCATTACACACTCACTGGCATTACACACTCACTGGCATTACACTCACTGGCATTACACTCACTGGCATTACACACTCACTGGCATTACACACTCACTGGCATTACACACCCACTGGCATTACACACTCACTGGCATTACACACTCACTGGCATTACACACTCACTGGCATTACACACTCACTGGCATTACACTCACTGGCATTACACACTCACTGGCATTACACACTCACTGGCATTACACTCACTGGCATTACACACTCACTGGCATTACACTCACTGGCATTACACTCACTGGCATTACACTCACTGGCGTTACACACACATACATACATCTCCTCGCCCCCAACACTCATCTCCCCATCCCATCTGACCAGGAAAAGTGAACCACCAGAACCATCCCTATAGAGGCGCCTCAGAACTCATCTACCACACCCCAGCACTCATTTCCCCATCCCCTGCCCAACTGTCACCCATTCTCACCATCGCCCATACCCATCCCTACTGACCCATTCCCACTGCTCTCCCCATCCCCAGCCCAACCAACCTGGAAATGCGCAGCACCAGAACTGCACCTCTAGAGGCGCCTCAAAACTCATCTCCCAACCCCCAATACTTCTTTCCCCGTCCGCATCCCAAATGCGCAGCACTTGAGCCAGAACCACCCCTCTAGAGGCGCTTACACAACTCAACTCCCAGCCCCAACACCCATTTCCCCATCCCCCCAACCCAACCCAGCTGACCCAGTCTCACCGTCGCACATTCCCAACCCAACTCACCCATTCTCACCAGCACTCATCTCCACGCCTCCAACTCACCCATTCTCACCAGCACTCATCTCCACGCCTCCAACTCACCCATTCTCACCAGCACTCATCTCCACGCCTCCAACTCACCCATTCTCACCAGCACTCATCTCCACGCCTCCAACTCACCCATTCTCACCAGCACTCATCTCCACGCCTCCAACTCACCCATTCTCACCAGCACTCATCTCCACGCCTCCAACTCACCCATTCTCACCAGCACTCATCTCCACGCCTCCAACTCACCTGGAAAAATGCAGCACGAGCACCACCCCTCCGAAAAACTCCCTCCACTGCTGAAGCTTCCGCGCACCTTCCTTCCGCCGGCTGGACAGCCCCCCGCCGCCCGCCTCATCATCATCCTCGTCGTCGTCGTCAGCACCGCCGGCTGGATCTCTATCCTCGTTATTAGCTGCACCGTCCTCGTTATTAGCCTTTTTGCTTGGATTTTGGGAGCTGCTACTGCCTGCAGCAGCAGTGGTATTGGGCTGGGCGGAGAGAGTTGGGGGGGGAGGGAGTAAAGAGTGTCATTTGGCAGCAGCGGCAGTGGTGTGGTTTTTGAGGCGCCTCAAAAACGACCTCAATGCAGGCAGAGAGAGTCGGGGGGGGGAGGGAGTAAAGAGTGTCATTGGCAGCAGCGGCAGTGGTGTGGTTTTTGAGGCACCTCAAAAACGACCTCAATGCAGGCAGAGAGAGTCGGGGGGGGGAGGGAGTAAAGAGTGTCATTTGGCAGCAGCGGCAGTGGTGTGGTTTTTGAGGCGCCTCAAAAACGACCTCAATGCAGGCAGAGAGAGTTGGGGGGGGGAGGGAGTAAAGAGTGTCATTGGCAGCAGCGGCAGTGGTGTGGTTTTTGAGGCGCCTCAAAAACGACCTCAATGCAGGCAGAGAGAGTCGGGGGGGGGAGGGAGTAAAGAGTGTCATTGGCAGCAGCGGCAGTGGTGTGGTGTGGCGTTGGCAGCAGTGGTGGCGACAGTTGCAGCAGCGGAGGAATTGGGCTGGGCGGACAGAGCAGCAGGGGGAGGGAGTATAGACTGTCACTTTCCAGCAGCGGCAGTGGCGAATGTTGAGGACTTTCTAGCAGATTTGTGCCAAAATGCACAATTCTGTCGATTCGATATACACCTGGCCCGGTAGACCGGAGTAGGGAAGGGAGGGAGTATCGAATCGCATGTTCCTCTACTCTACCACCGACAGAGAGACGGATGGTGCACAGGCACTCACCACCATGCCAAGATGCGCCTTCCTCCCTCTCAGCGATTCGATATACACCTGGCCCGGTAGACCGGAGTAGGGAAGGGAGGGAGTATCAAATCAAATGTCCCTCCACTCTACCACCGACAGAGAGATGGATGGTGCGCTTATTACCACGCCTGGCTGATTTTTTAGACGTCTCAAAAGTCGTCTCAAAAGTTGACCGGAGTAGGGAGGGAGAATTGAATGTCTCTCTACTCCACTCCACCACTGACAGAGAGACGGATGGTGCGCTTACCACCATGCCTGCCTTGTTGATGGCTTTTGGGTCGACTCAAAAGTCACCTCGAATGTCAATCTACTCCACTCCATTACCAACAGAGGGATGGATGGAGCTCTTACCACCATGGCTATTGGGTCGACTCAAAAGTCACCACGGATGTCACTCTACCAGCGACGGAGAGAGACGGATTGTGCACGTACCATCATGCCTTGCTGATTCCTGAGATGTCTCACAAGTCATCTCAAAAGTGGACCGGAGTAGGGAAGGGAGGGAGTATCGAATTGAATGTCACTCTAGCAGCGACAGAGAGACATGGATGGATGGTGCACATACCACCATGCCTTGCTGATTCATCACCATGCCAGGATGCGCCTTCCTCCCTCTCAGCGACTCAGCAGCTGCACGGAGGGGTGGAGAGGGCCGAGAGTGGGGGTGGGCGGAGGGAAGGGAGGAAAGGAAGACGATATGAAGAGAGCACTTACCATCATGCCTTGTTGATTTACCACCATGCCAGGATGCGCCTTCCTCCCTCTCAGCGACTCAGCAGCTGCAAGGAGGGGTGAAAATAGGAGGGTGGAGGGACGAGGGGAATGAGGGGGAGTGAGGAGGGGGGAAACGGACTCACAGAAATGAAGCACGGACCATGGCTCTGTATGAGCCTTCCACCATCCCAGCAGTGCAGCAGCTGCAATGGAAAGAGAGGGGAGGAAGCCTTGGAAGGGAGGGCTGGATGGGGAGGAAGCCTTGGAAGGGAGGGCCGGATGGGTGGACCAAGGGTGGGCTGGATGGGTGGACCAAGGGTGGGGGTCCAACCAGGGTTGGGGTCCAACCAGGGTGGGGGTCCAACCAGGGTGGGGGTCCAACCAGGGTGGGGGTCCAACCAGGGTTCACCCAGAAAAGTGTACGGGAGTGACAGGAGGATGCAGAGAGAGGCATGTGGCGAGCAGGGTAGGGTTTCAAATTTCGGCTTTAGGGTCAGGGGGTTTAGGGCTTCGGGTTTAGGAGAAAACGTTGAGAGCTTCCGGTTAAGGAGTCAGGGTTTGGGGTTTAGGATACAGAGGCCATGCAAATGCAGGCATTCAGCCGTCATGAGTGACAAATCAGACAAGAGCGAGTGAGCACGCAGATGATTTGACAAGTTCTCATCAACCACTTACTCACCCACTCACTCGCTTCCATTCAGCCACGAATTGAATTGGAAATTGCTCAAATGCTCACTCACTCACGCACTCGCTCACTCACCCATTGATTCTCTGCCTCTTATTCGTGACTACTTAGAATTGGAATGTTCTCGGAAGGCTCTACTGTTCAGGCACTCTCTCTGAACTCTCTGCTGTTCTGTCACCCCTGCATTGCAACAGACAAGAGGCCTCAAAGGTTCTTTTGAGGCGCCTCAAAAGCTTTCTCTGAACTCTCTGCTGTTCTGTCACCCCTGCATTGCAACAGACAAGAGGCCTCAAAGGTTCTTTTGAGGCGCCTCAAAAGCTTTCTCTGAACTCTCTGCTGTTCTGTCACCCCTGCATTGCAACAGACAAGAGGCCTCAAAGGTTCTTTTGAGGCGCCTCGAAAGCTTTCTCTGAACTCTCTGCTGTTCTGTCACCCCTGCATTGCAACAGACAAGAGGCCTCAAAGGTTCTTTTGAGGCGCCTCAAAAGCTTTCTCTGAACTCTCTGCTGATCTGTCACCCCTGCATTGCAACAGACAAGAGGCCTCAAAGGTTCTTTTGAGGCGCCTCAAAAGCTTTCTCTGAACTCTCTGTCCTTCTGTCATTCCTGCATTGCGACATACAAGAGGCCGCAAAGGTTGTCCATCACTTACTGAGTGACTCTCGCGCTGCCAGGCTGGCAGCCACGTCAGCAGACGACCACCGCATGCTGATGAGCTGGCAGAGCGCAAGGGAGGGAAGGAGGGAGGGGAGGAAGGGAGACAGGGGTGTAAGCAGAGGGAAGATGGGATAGGGGAGGTGATGAGGTAGCTGCCAGCAGACGAGACGACCACCTCCTGCTGATGAGCTGTTGTCCGGGAGGACGAGCAGCGCAGGGAGGGAGGGGAGGAAGGGAGAGAAGGGTGTAAGCAGAGGGTAGAATGGACAGGGGAGGTGATGAGGTAGCTGCCAGCAGACGAGACGACCACCTCCTGCTGATGAGCTGTTGTCCGGGAGGACGAGCAGTGCACGGAGGGAGGGGAGGAAGGGAGAGAAGGGAGTAAGCAGAGGGTAGAATGGACAGGGGAGGTGATGAGGTAGCTGCCAGCAGACGAGACGACCACCTCCTGCTGATGAGCTGTTGTCCGGGAGGACGAGCAGCGCACGGAGGGAGGGGAGGAAGGGAGAGAAGGGTGTAAGCAGAGGGTAGAAGGGACAGGGGAGGTGATGAGGTAGCTGCCAGCAGACGAGACGACCACCTCCTGCTGATGAGCTGTTGTCCGGGAGGACGAGCAGCGCAGGGAGGGAGGCGAGGAAGGGAGAGAAGGGTGTAAGCAGAGGGTAGAAGGGACAGGGGAGGTGATGAGGTAGCTGCCAGCAGACGAGACGACCACCTCCTGCTGATGAGCTGTTGTCCGGGAGGACGGGAGGCGGGACGGGAAGTATGGACAGAATTTTTAGGCGCCTCAACACGAGTTTTGAGGCACATAAAAAGGAGGGGAGGAAGGGAGTTGATTTGATACGAGCCACAACAGGAAAACGGAGGCGGGACGGGAAGGATGTTTTGAGATGTCTCAAACCATCACTTGTATCACGTGGCAGGACATCACTTGTATCACGTGGCAGAACATCACTTGTATCACGTGGCAGAACATCACTTGTATCACGTGGCAGGACGGGGATCATGGACAGGGGAAGGAGCAGGGGATGGGAAAGGGTGCTTATAATGGAAACGACTTACCAGGGCAAAGAGGACGACTATAACGAGGATGAGCAGGCAGAAAAGGCAGGCAGCGAGCCCAAGAAGGGCTATCTTGAAAGTTGCGTTGGAGCCATCCACTCCCCCACCAAAGCCCAAGGGGGAGGAGCTGGGGGAGAGCAGGCGGGGGAGGGCTGCACGCTTGCGCCCCATTGTCAGGGGACGGGGCTGGGGGGGGGGGGGGAAGGGGAGGGGGGGAGAGGGAAGTAGGAGAGGGGAGGGGGATCAAGGAGGGGAAAAGAGGACGGGAACAGGGAGGGGGAACAGGGAGGGGGAGCAGGGGAGGGAGGGGAGCTGTGAGGCCAAGGGGGGTTATCTTGAGAGTTGCGCTGGAGCCATCCACCCCGCCCCCAAAGCCCAAGGGGGAACCGCTGGGGGAGAGCAGGCGGGGGAGGGCTGCGCGCTTGCGCCCATGGTCAGGGGACGGGGCTGGGGGGGAGCAAGGGGAGGGATGGGGAAAGGGAGAGCGAGGAGGGGGAACAAGGAGGGGAGGGGGAACAAGGAAGAAAAAGGGGAGGGGGAAAAGGGAGGAAGAAGGGGAGGGGGACAATGAGGCCAACGGGAGTTATCTTGAGAGTTGCGCTGGAGCCATCCCCTCCGCCCCCAAAGCCCAAGGGGGAAGTGCTGGGGGAGAGCAGGCGGGGGAGGGCTGCACGCTTGCGCCCCATGGTGAGGGGACGGGGCTGGGGGGAAGGGGTAATGGGGCAAGGGGAGGGAGAAAAGGGAGGTGGGAGAGAGGGAAGGGGGGAATAAGGGAAGACTGTGAGACAAAGGCTGCGCGCTTGCGCCCCATGGTGAGGGGGCGGGGCTGGGGGCGCAGGAAGTGGGGGATCGAGGGTGGAGGGAGGGGAGAAGAGGAAAGAAGGAACGAGGGAAGGGGGGATGAGGGGGGAATGGGGGAAGCAGAGTGTGGATTTTGGGGCGGGCGGATTGCGCGCTTGCACCCCATGGGGTGGGGACGGGGGTGGGGGTCGGAAGGAGAAGGGAAGAGGGAGAGGAGAAGAGGAATCGGGGAACAGGGACGGGAAACAGGAGGAGGGAACGGGAAGGGGGTACTGGAGAGGGAAATAAGCGGGGAACTGGGAAGGGGAACTAGGAAGGAGAATGGGGAGGGAAACATTGGGAGGTTGAAACAGGGAGGGGGAACAGGGGTGGGGAGCAGAGCGGGGGAGCAGATGTGGGGGAAGAGAGGAGGATCCAGGCGGAATGGGGAGAAGGAGCTGGAGGGAATAGCGGAAGGGACGACAGTGCGACAGTATGAAGCCATGAACGGAAAACTGACCAATGGACCTAAACGTTAACGTTAACGTCCAGCCTGCTGGCGTCACCTGACGCCAAACGGCATTCCGTCTATGCCGACATTGTAATGCCGGCCTTCTTCGCATCGCAAGCAAGCTGCTCTAATGTTGAGTTTTGAGACGTCTCAAAACAGCAAGCAAGCTGCTCTAAATTTGCTTTCATCCGATCATCAAGTAACAGTCTCGACTGGTACGTCATCGGCGAGTGATCCTATCGAAAATACTCGAATAGCTACGACTTGTATCGAGGAATAATATTGACTCGAATAGCTATGACTCACCCCTCCCGCTCGCCGCCTTTCGGCCATGTTCCCACCACGTTTCCTTCCGCGTTCAATAACTCGACGCGTGCCGCTCAGTTCACGACAGCAAGAGTCGAGGCGATCCGACACCGGTCGGTCAGCACCCACAGCAGCAGGAATCGAGTAGGAATTTAGTTTTTACGCGACTTTTGAGGCGTCTCAAAACTCGAAAGCAGCAGCTGATGCGATCCGACACCGGCGATTGGTCAGCAACCGCAGCAGAAATCGCCTAGCATTGCCGAATCAGCGACAGGTGCAATAAAAAAGGTGTCTTGTTTCCAGTCAATGCATTACTCCCTAGTTTGGGAACCTACAGGTCGGAACAGCAACTACTACACGTGAGAGTCCGTACAGCTTCTAGGGGAGTAGTTAGCCTCTACTCACTGACAGCAACTGTCGAGAATCTCCGTACAGCACCGTGGGGTGCAGAAGATGCAGATGATGGCACAGCGTTTCTATGCGGTATTCTGTGTTCAGGCGCGGTCCAGCCTTGGTGCAAAACGGGATGTACAGTGGTGGGGTCCCCGGTCCTAACTCCTTTTCACTGTTCACTTCTATTCCCGTCAGAAGCGGCTCCGCTTGAAAGACTACCTTGTTGGATTCTGCAGTGTCACGAAGCTGCTCTTGGTAAGATGCTAATCTTGCTTTGTGCTACGAGGTCAACGATAGGGAAAATATTGCACTATCGAAGCAAATTTATACTATGCGCGAATTTTTAATTAGCGACACAAGCTGATAACGGTAAAAACCAATCAAATTCGTGGCCTAAGGGACTAACGTTGAGGTTGGGAGTTATCGGGTTATCGTGACACAGTGCCGGACCTTGGGATATGTTATGAATGAACTTGCAGAGTGCGCAGTAAAACGAATATCGAGAATGATTGAGTACTGAATTACTGAATGACGATACAATGAGAAAGGCACGACTAAATTAGGGAAGTCCTAGCTAGGCAGAGAGGTTGGGCGAGGATGGCTCGGTGATGGTTGCGATTGGAGCGGAGGCGACTCGGGAGTGGTTCGTGTCAAATTATATGTGTAGGCTATAGTGGGGTAGCCCATATGGGGTACACATTTCTAGGGCTACATATTTGTATCACTTTCATTCCTTAGTCATTCATTCTCGTTCACATTTTCTCATGGTATCGAGTAGGTTCCCCCGTGGGAACTGTGCCTAGGGCCCACCACATCGACTTTTTTCTTCCTGCCCGAAGCGCGCTCCGCCCGAGTCGCGCTTCGGGCTCTCACCTCGTCGAGCCGCCCTAGCGGCCCCTTTTGCCCTAGCGGCCCTTTCCCCTAGCGGCCCCGCCGCCCGTCGCTTCGGTCCCGCCGCCCGTCTCTTCGGCCCCGTCGCCCCTAATTGCAGCCGCGCCGCCCTACCTCGCGGCCCCGCCGCCCTACCTCGCGGCCCCGCCGCCCTACCTCGCGGCCCCGCCGCCCTACCTCGCGGCCCCGCCGCCCTACCTCGCGGCCCCGCCGCCCTACCTCTCGACCCCGCCGCCCTACCTCGCGGCCCCGCCGCCCTACCTCGCGGCCCCGCCGCCCTACCTCGTGGCCCCGCCGCCCTACCTAGCGGCCCCGCCACCCTGCTCAGCGGCCCCGCCGCCCTTCTGCAGCGGCCCCGCCGCCCTGCTCAGCGGCCCCGCCGCCCTTCTGCAGCGGCCCCGCCGCCCTTCTGCAGCGGCCCCGCCGCCCTTCTGCAGCGGCCCCGCCGCCCCAATCAGCGGCTCCGCCGCCCTACTCCTGCGGCCCCGCCGCCCTACTCCTGCGGCCCCGCCGCCCTACTCCTGTGGCCCCGCCGCCCTACTCAGCGGCCCCGCCACCGCTCACCAGCGGCCCTGCCGCCCTACACCGCCCGTGCCGCCCGAGCTGCCCGAACCGCCCGAGCGGCCCGACTCTCCTGAGCAGCCCGAGCCGCTCGAGCCGCCTGAGCCGCTTGAGCCGCCTGATCAGCCGAGTCGCCGGTGCCGCGGAGCCGCAGTCGCTACTGAGCCGTCCGAGCAGCCGTGTTGCCGTGTTACTGCACTACTGAGCTGCCCGACTCGCCCTGTCCGGTGAGAACAGCGCTTCTGTCACTGCACTGCCCCTGTCCTACAGTTGGTCTCGCTAGTCTACTGCTGTTATGGCTACCCCTAGTGTTCTCGCTTTTGACGCTGAGGGTCGATCCATTGACTTTGAGGTTTGGGTAGATGACCTGCAGCTCTTCTTACAGTGCGATAGGGCAGACGGTCTCTCCCTCTTTGACCTCACCTCTGGCGCCTCTCCTGCCCCTGCTGCTGATGCTCACCCCACTATTCGCTCCCAGTGGGCCACGCGCGATGCTGCTGCACGTCTTGCTGTGCGTCGCCACCTGCCTACCACTGAGCGCGCGCACTTTAGTCAGTACAAGAGTGCTCAGACCTTATACGACGCTGTAGTTGCGCGCTACTCTTCCCCTGCCACTGCTGCACTGAGCCGCCTCATGCTACCGTACCTCTTTCTTGACCTTGCTGCCTTTCCCACAGTCGCTGACCTCATTACGCACCTCCGCACTAGTGTCACTCGCTACCGCGCCGCACTTCCTGCTGAGTTCTGCGCCAAGAACCCCCCCCCCATGTACATCACTCTCTATTATAGTCACTCGCCTCCCTGACTCCCTTCGCGTAGTCCGGGACCACTTCTTCTCCGTCTGTCCCACCACTCTCACTATTGACCTCCTAGAGAAGGCCCTCCTAGCAGCGGAGAAGAGCATAGTCGCTGTAGGAGCCTCTCGTAGTGACCCTCGCACTCCCATCTTTGAGGGGTGTTCCCCTTCCCCCCTGTTGCCCTCTGTCGCCTCTGCTGCTGCGGCCGACCTCGTTGGTCTTGAGTCGGTCGGTGCGGCGTCTGCCCCTAGCGGGAGACGCCGCCCTGGCAAGGGCAAGGGGGGCAAGGGCGCGGGTGGAGCTAGCGGGGGTGGTGGAGGTGGCGGTGGAGGCGGCGGAGGGAGTGGGTGTGGCGGTGGGAGTGGTGGCGGGGGTGGAGGTGGTGGTGGCAGCAGCGGAGGCGGAGGCAGCGGAGGCGGCAGCGGTGGGAGTGGAGGCGGCGGTGGTGGTGGAGGTGGAGGCGGCGGTGGCGGAGGAGGTGGAGCTGGTCGAGGTGGTGCTTCGCAGCGGAGCGGTTCCGGTGGTGGTCAGCGCCAGCAGCAGCCGCAGCAGCAGCGTTCTCGGGACATCCCCCCTCCTCAGCAGCTCCGTGAGTGGTACACGCAGCGTCAGCGTGGTGGGGGTTTTGGTCCGTGCACCTACGTCCTTCGCTCCGGCGACCGCGCCGGTGAGCAGTGTGGGGGTGCCCACCCCACCCAGCGCTGCTTTGGCCGCCTGACGGACGCTTGGCGTCAGCAGTTACCCGAGGCCAGTGAGATCCCCCGCTGGGGAGAGTTGTCTAGGGCAGGTGTAGCTATCTATGATCTTGACTTTGATGCTATCCTTGCTGCCATGTATGCTGTGACTATTAGTGATGAGGGTGACTGTTACCGGTGTTTCCCGCCCGACCCGGGCATTGGTACTGCTGCGCTAGGTGCTATTGAGGCTGCTGCTCTAGGTGCCAGTGTGTTTGCGCCCTCAGGTACTGGTGAGGCTGCGCTCTCAGGTACTGCGTCGGCTTTGGCCTCCCTCACCTTCACACTTGACTCGGGGGCTTCTCGCTCCTTCTTTCGAGACCGCACCACACTCACGCCGCTTGGTCGGCCAGTTGCAGTCTCCCTGGCAGACCCCTCTGGGGTTCTTGTCCTCTCTCACTTCTCTACTGTCCTCCCGTGTCCGGCTGCCCCCTCTGGCACCTTGTCTGGTCTTTACCTCCCCTCGTTCTCGACGAACTTGGTGAGTGGTGCTGACCTGTAGGATGCGGGGGTTCACCAGTTTACTCCTGCGAGTCAGCGGGGGACCCACTGCTCGGACGCACGCAGGGGCCGACACCTGGCCACGTTTTCGCGTCGGCCAGGGTCGAGCCTCTACACCCTGACCACTGCGTCCCCTCCTGTCCTTACGTCTGGCCAGGTAGCTGAGTCGGGTCAGGTGTTTGCTGCAGCGTCCAGGTCTGGTCCTGAGTCTGCCCCCTGCTCGTGTCGCCATCTGTCTCACGAGACTCTCCTGTGGCACCACCGTCTTGGTCACCCCTCCCTGCCTCGTCTCCGAGGCATGGCTTCCCGTGTCCTTGTCTCTGGTCTCCCCCGGTCCCTCCCTCCCCTTCCTCCAGGGCCTGGTCCTTCCTGCGTTCCCTGTGTCGAGGGGCGGCTCCGGGCTGCCCCTCACTCCTCTCAGTTTCCCCCGACAGAGGCACCGTTGCAGACGCTTCACATGGACGTGTGGGGCCCAGCTCGCGTCAGTGGACAGGGTCACGAGCGCTACTTCCTGCTGGTGGTTGACGACTACTCGCGTTATACCACAGTCTTCCCCTTGCGCAGCAAGGGTGATGTCGCTGAGGTGTTGATCGACTGGATCCGCGCATCTCGTCTCCAGCTCAGGAGGAGCTTCGGCTCGGACTTTCCTGTTCCGCGTCTGCACTCTGACCGAGGCAGAGAGTTCTTCTCTGGCCCTCTACGAGCCTACTGTCGTGCGCGAGGCATCCGCCAGACCTTTACGCTTCTGGACTCTCCACAGCAAAATGGGATTGCTGAGCGCTGCATTGGCATGGTGATGGACGTCGCTCGT